ACAAAATTTAGAAATAACACCCGGAGCGGCAAAAGAGAAAATAAATTCCCCAGGTCCGCATCCAAAACAGCCAAAACTAAGTAAAAATGTGTGTGGTCAGGGAAAAAAACGGAAGATTTAGCGCTTAATGCAAAATCATAAAAATTTAGTTGAAAGCGTCCAACCTACAAATCTGAAATTCCCCCAAATCAAATTTAAATCCTCATAAATAAATAAAAAACATTAATCCACAACACACCTCCAGTATTAAAGTCCAAAAAGACAAACTTTCCTATTTGAACGGAACAACAAAAACAAAATTTCACATCTGTTCTCCAGAGGTGCGACTGATAATCAGCATGACAAAGGAGACACATCTAAGAAACGGGACAGCCTAATAGTCTGACAGCCAAGAGTCTAATATTTTAGTCATTATACAATTACTTTTATATATTTCTCATTCATTAGAATTGCAATATGACACCGCACCAGACTATGACGTGTGAAAATAGGCCCTGCGAAACAAGACCACCCACTAATTTAACTTCCAAATGTTTGTGCACAGATGCTGAAAGCTGCTTCCCTCTCTTGGTTCTGGCTCTGCAAAATCAGAACCAGAACCAGAACCATAGTCTGGAAAGTTGATACAACAACAGCAGATCTTCAGATGTATTGTGGTGCTAAACCAGTCAGTGATATGTAAACTAACAACAGTATTGTAAAATATATTCTTTGAGCCACAGGGAGCCAGTGAAGGGATTTTAATACTGGTGTAATGTAATCCAATCCTATCCACAGACAATCACACCTCCCTTTTTTTTCTGTTAAGAGGCGGAACTAGGCAAAACACTTGTAATCCGATCTATACAAATCAACAGGCTTAATTCTAATCACCATAGAAAAGCTACCAACAACACATTTACTTAGCAAACAGTGATGCAGGAGAAAAAAAAGCCAAAAAAAATCACCCTGCAAAGTGGTTCTACCTGTAAACTCTAATCAACAACCAAAATAGAGGCCAGCACTGCAGAGAATGGAGTAGACTGAGGTGCGACAAAACCTCAGACACCGCTTTTAATTTAGCATTATTACTACAACTCACCGGTTCCCCATAAAAAGTCACAGATAACAATCATTGTATAAAGAAGTGTTCAATGCCTGGCCAACTCACCAAAACGGGTCCACAACTTTCTGTCCTGTGTCGCCTCCTGTAAACTCACAGACGCATCTGTCCAGGGAAAAAATCAGCCTGCAGTTGTTCTGCAGACACAATGTGTAACAACCAACGACCTGCCTACGTGTAACAGACAATCAAAATGAAAATATCACTTTATTGACTAACTACATCTGCCATGAGAACTGTAAAGCGAGCCGGAGTCACATCAAACGTAACAAGCCAACTGCTGAATTAAATGCTAATGTAGCTCCGTACATGCGCCTGTACCGTAAGCCACGAGACAGAAGCAGAGTAACAAGCTAACACGTTATTATTAAAATCAACCGCCATATAAGCACATAGCCTGATAAAAATTATATCATCAGTATTATTAATATTATTAATATTAGAGAGTATTCTTATAATTAGTTCTCAAATAGTATATAAGCACAAACCGCGGCAAAATAACACAACACTCACTCAGCAGCTGCAAACGCCGTCTCACATACACACAATAACATACAGAGAGCCGTACAACACACACAGACAACGGCAAAACTCACACGACCACCGCACAACGAACACACAGACAAACAACGGCTCAGTCACTCCGACACACAAACAGATAACGTACTGACATAAACACAAAGACAAAGACACGAAGACACGCCGGCGAAACAACACAAACAGACAAAAAACACCGAAAAACACGAACAGACAAGGTGGTCAACACACAGGAAAAAATCAAAATAACGTCAACACACAGAGACAAACGAGGAAAATTAAGAAAGATAAGAAAGCAAAAGGAAAGTCCCTATTGTTATCGATAACAGAAGAGTTTAATTCTTTGGGGCCCCAATGTCTCTTGCAATTCACTGCACATCACTTTCATTTTCAGCACTAGTTGCTGCGGAAGGAGACCGTCTCCAATTTAGCATAAGTCCTTTCAAGCTCGGGCAATAGCTTAAGTGATTCAACTTTTAAATCTGGAGGTCCTTTCGAACAAAACTGGAACGTGGTGATACAACCGTAGCCAATTCTCATAAGCCCTGCGAATAATCAGCTGCTTTCGGAGCGAACCAAAACTCCAAGGTCGATTCAAACCTTTTCCTGTCTCACACCCCATCACACAGGCTTCGTTTAAGTGTAGTAAAATCTCAGGTCGAGCAACCTAGCTAAATCCACACTCCGTCGAGTGTGGTTGAGGCGCGCCACTGCCAACTACGGGTGTGTAACCAGCTTATCTAATGGTTCAGTAGAATAAGAAGAAACAAAACAACACAAAGAGATCACACACTAACCAAGATCAGTCCGCGGGAATAGCCGCGCTGCAGATCACTCCGCAACGTTCCAGCTGCGCTCCACAGCCAACACAAAAAAAAAGTCTCCACTGCAACACACACAGAGACACAGAGAAAAAGGACCGGACGAAGCCCCCAATTGTTAAGAATTAAAAAGATGAAGAACTTGATCTTAGCTCGTTAATTAATTCTTAGTCCCGAATTCCTGTGTCTGTGTAAGTGTGCAGAGAGAAAAGAGCAATCATACGACGTCAGACTTCAGATATTCAGAGTTTTATCCAGAGAAAATCAATGCAAGAAGAATGTTACAATAAGCATCTCACCTAGAATATCAAAAGTCCAAGACATTACAGAACAGAGACAAAGAACTGAGTAAAAAAGACAGAAGATGCATCCTCCGGGAAAACTCTCACCCAGCACAAAGAGATTCCAAACTTCTGCTGTAAACCAAATCATTTTATAGAATGCGTAATCTCATCATTTAAATATATGCATTAGGAGGTGTGTTCTTTTCCTTTGTGTGGTGTGCTGTCTAATGACTCCTGCTAAAGAAAAGCAGATATACGGCAAACCCTTCTCGTATCAGCCGCTGTCCAGTTTGATATATGATTGCAGCTGCAGCGCTATCTGTGCCTCAAACTGTTTTCACAAGAAAGTAGTTTGTATTTTTAACCAAGCTTGCACACAATGTAATGCTAAATAATGACTATAAGTTTGGATCTAATAAGTAACTAATAAAAACATGCTTAAAGAAATATAGTTAATTCTAATATAGATAAAATTATTTATAAAAAGTTTTAAGATCCTAGTGAACTTTTGAACCATGCTAAGGAATTTGTTAATTGCCTGGCAGACAGACTCTGTCTAAAGAGATTCTAGGCCTGTCTTTCCTGTAGAATCCTCCCTAAGAATTTATATAAGTTCAGAGATTCAGCAGTTGTTTTAGTTTGGATTTTTATCTAAATTTATGTGAATGTAGAGTGTACTTTAACTTTCTATGGTATATTTCATATGTATCAAAACTATCCTGTGCAGTATTGTGCTAATTTAAAATATTATTTCAACAACATGAAAGAATAAAACAGGAAATGTTTGATGATGCGATTTAAACATAAAAACAGCAACTATAATATCTCACAGAAACATATAATATTTTCATCCTACAATAAGATTTTCTTCAAAATAAAACAGGTTCACCAAATTGGATTTAAGTGTTATATCTACAGTATAACGTTATGTTAGACTTAGACTTCCTTTATTGTCATTGTACAAAAAAAACACAAGGTGAATCTTGACAACAAAATGTCGTTACTTGGCTACCAGTGTAGCAGAGCTAAAACCTTATACTACCCAATAAATAAATAAATACAATACAAGTGCCATAGAACACACAGGTTCAGTGATGTGAAAAAAACTAAACTAAAGTGCATGTATTGACCATGTCCATGGGGGGGGGTCATTTGGTTTGTGAGTGTGTGGAGGGGTGTTATGTGGCGTTAAGCAGTCTGATGGCCCGGGGAAGAAACTGTTCAGTAGTCTGGTTGTTCTGCACAAGATGCTGCGGAACCTTCTTCCAGACGCCAGGGGGGAAAACAGTCCATGGTTGGGGTGGGTGGGGTTGGAGAGGATCTGGTGAGCGCGAGATAGGCAGCGCCTCTCTGCGATGTCCTTGATGCAGGGGAGCAGAGCCCCCGTGATCTTCTCCCCTGTCCTCACCACCCTCTGTAGAGACTTCCAGTCAGAGGCCCTGCAGCTCCCAGACCAGATGGAGATGTAGCTGGTCAGTTGGCTCTCGATGGTCCCTCTGTAGAAGGTCTGAAGGATGGGGGGCGGGAGGGATGCTCTCTTCATCCGACGCAGGAAGTGCATGCGCTGCTGGCCCTTCTTCACCAGTGAGGAGATGTGAGGAGACCAGCTGAGGTTGTCGTTGATGTGCACCCCCAGGAACTTGGTGCTGCTGACGACCTCCACTGCTGAGTCGTTGACGAGGAGTGGTGTGTGGGTGGGTCTGGATTTCCTGAAGTCTACGATGATCTCCTTGGTCTTGTTGACATTCAGGATCAGGTTGTTTCCTCTGCACCAGTCCACCAGATGCCGCACCTCCTCCTATAGGCCGTCTCGTTGTTGTCCCGGATGAGGCCCACCACTGTGGTGTCGTCCGCGTACTTCAGGATGTGGTTGGATCTGAAGTGTGGACGGCAGGAGGCAGTCGTGGGTCATCAGGGTGAACAGCAGGGGGCTCAGGACACAGCCCTGAAGGGTGCCGGTGTTCAGGGTGATGACATCGGAGGTGTTGTTCTCCATTCTGACAGCCTGGGTTCTGTCAGTGAGGAAGTCCAGTAGCCAGTTGCAGAGGGGGGTGTTAATTCCTAAGGGGCCCAGTTTGCCCACCAGGTCTTGGGGGATAATGGTGTTGAACGCTGAGCTGAGTTGAATGTTGGCTTCTACTCATCTGGCAGTTGTTTAACATTATATTGTAAAAAAAAATAGACTTTTTTTTTCCCTTTGTTGGACAAGAAAAATAAATACATCAAAGCATGTTTTATTTGGAACGTTACATTTATGATTATTTGGAAGATATATGGGCATTTAATTTCAATAAATATATAATTTTAACAACATTGAAATAAATATGTAAAAATAAATTAAAGTTTGGGTGTAGAATAAAGGACACCTCACATCCGGTGCACACAAGAGATCATTACTCATCAGCTTGAGAGTCTTGCACACAGATTTTTAAAAAGTCTCAAAATAATTAGACATTAGAAATTTCGGTGTGTAGAAGGTAGTCAGCAAGTGCAGGACATTAAAATGAACCTGTGACATGTTCAGGACTGGCCATCCAAACAGGTTGGCCCTCAGAGCGGCACCGAAAGTGGAGCAAAGGTTCAAAGAACCTCACAGGAGTCATTACAGCTAAAACACGTCAGACTGTTACGGTGTCCTAACTTTTTTCTCAGCTAGAAAACAAGTTAGTTTTTTGCTTAAAGAGGAAAACTATGTTCATCTTTATTAAGTGCAATTAAATATCTTTGATTCTATTGAAATAAAAATAGCTAATTGTCAACATGTGAACGTTTGTTAAGAACCTGAATGTTTAGATATGTACACCTGCTTTAGTCTGTGATTAACATACATGAACAACCTGCGTGTGTCGGGACACACACTTGTTGTGTTTGAGGTTTAATCTGTTGGACTGTGAAGCTTGTGGGAACATACAGGACATCTGTCTGGGTGTGAGATGGTGACCAGGAGGTAACAAAGCAAAGAGGCACCACTATGTGCCAGACATTCATAATAAATCACCTGCTTTTAAATATTGATGTTGATGTTATGAATCTACTGCATGTAGAGTAGAACTGAAGTAGCAGAGCAGACAAAATGAAAGCCTTTTTTTCTTTCTCCACTACAAACTCCTATTTTTCTGTTGAATAATTCATCTGGTTCCTATCAAACACTCAGTTTGTTTACTAAAATATGAATATGTGGTGTAGATCCCTGCCATAATTCAGTGAAATACAGATACGTTTTGTTATTTTCTCCTGTGAGTTCTGTTTAGTTAGCGCCTGTAATCTACATCTGCACTGTTACTCGATTGCGTTGGTGGATTTGTGTTTCTACCAGTGATTTATCACTACATAGATAGTAGATGACACCCTGTGTATGGCTTACAATTAAATTATTTCTTTTTTTGTAATTCACTTGTTAATAACTGATAATTAATTGTTAAGGACTGAGCAGGTGTAGAGCAGAGGACAGGTCTCCTCCTGAGCTGATGAGGGCCTGAAGGTTTGCCTTTCTGTCTCTGAAGCCCATCGAGTTCAGCTGCTGCAGCTCCTCCTGGAAATCCTCCTCTTCCTCACGACGGACCTGACAGGCAACAAAACCAAAACCATTTGAGGTTCTTGTGACTAAACAATTACAATTTGATTTCTTAACGCAGTCTGAATGTTTAGTGACAAAATGCAAATCTCTAAATCATGAATGCAATTTTACATTTTTGTACATTGTACACAGCGGAGCGGAATGAAAGGAGTTATTTTAACAGGCGATTTGACCATAATCTTTAAGAATTGTTTTGTTATTTTATTATTTCAATTTAAAAATGTTCACAACCAGAACAGGGAAACTGGTTGCATAGTTGAATCATGAAGCTGGTTGGAGCTGATGAATAGAGGTAAATATTGGTCAAACTGGATAAGAACATTCAGGTTGCTCACATGACATCTCATTAAAACATGGTAAAGTTTGTGGTGGTAAACTGAAAAGAGGTCAAAACATTTTGGCAAGACATTGTAGGAACATCCATTTGGCAAATACTAACATTTGGTAACAATAACATTTTGGTTATTTAAAGGGCTTCTGCTTTCTAGTATTACAATTTTACACATAAAAGAGTTAAACAATTTTAGTCACCAGGGAATCAGTGAGTTACCCCATTGCTGGTGTTAGCCAGTGCCTTTAACATCTGATGTACAAACTGCTGCTGCTCTGTCAGTGGCTCATCTTGGTTGTTCAAGTTAGGATCAGATGGGTGCTGAGGAGAACCAGCAAGACCAGAACCAGCACTGGTTCCAGGTTCAGCCCTGCCAAAAAGATACATGGTTGAAAAAGGACATTTCAGTTTCAAACTTTTATGTACTGTATATAATACGTGGTCATTTAAATTAATGAACTACATAAATGAGCTCAGATAAGTAAGTGTAGCTTAGCTTTATAAATTAAATTAATTTTTTTCATTATGAATTGAACATATATTTCTACCTACTTAAGTGGATGTTTTTTGACTTGCAAGTATGCTTTAAGCTTTTCTTACAGAATACAAAAAACATCAGAACAGTGACTTATAACAGGCTCTTACCAACTACTGAAATTCCGATTTTCATACCAACACTATTTAAACATTTTATTTTCAAGGAAAGTAATAAAAATTGTAATCAAATTTTGATTTTCATTGCCTAAAAAAAATTTACAATTTTTTTCCCTCTTGTATCAATGAGGGAAAAAAAGTTGAAATACAAATAAACAAATTAAATGTACAAATTGAAGATGGAGCCTGTCCAGGGTGTACCTCGGCTCTCGCCTGAAACGTTCGCTGGAGATAAGAACCAGCCTCCCTCCCGACCCCACAAGGGACAGGGGTATATAGAAAATGAATGAATGGATGGATGGAATTGAAGATGGAACTTAATTTAATTTAATACTTAGTTTGGAAAACTAGGACTTTTCAAGGTCTAAATCTTGAATTGTTAAATTTGACAATTTTCACTGAAGTTTTGAAGGTTCAGTGAAAACCCTTTTAATGAGACAGCTGTTTACTTTAGTAACTCATCTAGAGCAAATGGAGTGTTTAGACATTTTTGCTCACATGAGGGAGGGAGCCTCTATAGCCAGAGTCTGCAGCCCCTGTTGGATCTGTAACAAAGCCTCCATGGCTCTGGGGTTCAGCATCATGGACAGCAGCTCTCCACTTTGCATCTAGGATTTATTGAATAATAATAAATAACATTTTTGTGTCAGAGATAGCTGTGTGTTGTGTATGGTGTTATGTCAAGACCAAACTCTTTCCATACCACATCTATTTTAGTGATAAATAAATATTAATTACAAAAAAACCTCTGATAAATATGAATAATATAATATCACAATAACCCTAGAGTGAATAAACAAACCTGCTGCAAAAAGAGAGGAATGTGCTGCCTTATGTGCTCCTGCAGCTGAACATTTTCTGAGAGCAAGGGATGGCTCAGCAGCATCTGAAGCAACAGGAAATACATCAGCACTGAAGTTTCTCAGCTTCTCAGGAGGAAGGACTGGTTTAAGGTCGTGGTTAAAAGAGCAATGTGTGAGGATTTAGTGACATCTAGTGGTGAAACTACATGTCGCAGCACGAAGAGGATAAATCTGGAATCACTCATTTTCTTACATAAAGGGTTGCAACTTGTTCTGTAAGTGGTGAATGATAGAACTGGCTTATCCTGAAGTAACAACAGATGATAAATCTTTAAGTAAAAAAACAAAAAGCAATCATAAAGGAGTATTGCTCCTCATCTTGCAGTATATCCAGACCCATACACGCTTCACCTGTGTAGCAAAGTCCGGGTTCTGGCTGAGGCAGTTCAGAACAGAGTTGATGTGCGGCCCAGAGAGCAGGGTCTCCATCAGACCTGGACTGGCTGTGATCTCCTGCAGGAGCGACTGCAGACCTGAAGGCAGCAGCCACATTATGTTCATATATCACATTTCTGATATTTGATATTTAACCTTGTGACAAATGCTCAGGACTGAATTGAGATGATGATTTCCTACAAATCATCCATGCCTTATGAATAAGTTGACTGCATGCATGCATATTTTCTTACCTGCATTAGGGGAACCGGTTCTGGGAGAAGCAGTCAGCTCTCTGAGGGAATCTGTGGAGTCAGTGGACGGAGGTGATGTTGGGCTGGTTTGTCCTCCTGGTCCCTGGTGACCCTCATATGATGTAGTGAATAATGGAAACATTGCTTCCTGAAAGACCAGAGGCACCAGAAGCAAACCTCTGATATAACAGATGAACTGTGTGAAACATCTAATCATGACCTTTGTTGCTTTACCTGAGTCTGTTTAAGATCCTGTTGCTGCATTTTTGCATCATTTGTCTGAAGGACATGCAGAGCAGCATTTGCAGGGTTATCCTGCACCATGGACTCGTTTTCTAAAGCTCCGTCTTCTTTTTGTGTCACCTCTTCTGTCATTTCAGGCTCCCTGGTGAGTTTTTGCACCTGGAGAGGAACAAAGAGAGTTGTGATGTTTGAGGCACACCACAAAAGAAGAACATCTTTCCTCAATCATTTTAGTTATTTAAGTTTAAATGTCAAAGGTACAATAATAGAAATACCACTCACACAACTTGCAAAAAAGAAAAAAAACACTGTACCTCAAACACACACACCTGCTCTATGGCATCTGGGTTGTTCAAAATGTCCTCCACCTCAGAGTTTGTTGTCAGCAGCTGCTGAATTTGAGGATTAGACAGAGAGCCTTGTCCTGTTACCTGAGGGCTGGAGGTGCAGAGGGCGTTGTGCACCAGTGGGCTGGGCAGAACAAAGTGCATCAGTTCTAGGTCACTCGGTAACTGGCTCTCCATTTTACTCCAGGTGGCAGTAAGAAAGATGGATCTGCTGTTTTCCGAGCCAAGACTGTCCAAACCCTCAGCTGAGACAAGATGAAACGAGAAAAAACAGAAGGACTTAAAAACACTGAAGAGCAGAGGGTAGACGACTGGAGAGACATGAATGTTTGACAGGTTTTACCTGAGCAGAGTGGCGAGGTGGGAGTAGGTGTTTGGTTGGGCTCTGGGTCAGGAACAGCTTTTAGCTCTGACTCAACAAGTTCTGAAACTGAATCACTGGAGGTCCGAGCAAATGAAGGTTCAGGCCTGAGAAAGACAAACTGAGTTTATAACTAGTGCTTACACCTGATGTACGCACTGAAAAGCCTGTCTTGTAAATCATTTCAGGGAAACAGTTTTCCAATAAAAGGCTGCTTGTTTGGGGACAAAAACACATTGATAAAAAATCGGATATAAAAAAAGATTTATTGTGGTCTTATTTTCCAGAATGAAAATAAAAATAACATCTCAGTTGTGCTCTGTCAGCCCACAGTCGTCAAATTTCAAACAACAGCATGATGTCTTGAAAAGAATCAGTTTTCCAATTCAGAATCAGAGTGACTCATTTTAAGAGCCTTTTTTGATGTGCTCTTCAAATTTGAATATGTCTGCTTATTTAAAATTTGGTCATGTCCCAAATTCCTTGAATGTAAAAACGGGCTGCATGAAGTCCTATGAGAAAATATCTTGGCCCGCTTCTTAAATCATTATTTAACTGTAACGACATTTCTGAAGAATTAAGAAAACATTTACTGTAAATAAAACTTGTATGACAACAAGAAGTAGGCAAGAGTCTGAAAAAGCCATACATCAAATCTCAATTCAAGAGGATACATCAGTCCAGTATAAAATCCACACAGCATTTGAAAAAAAAAATAACATTCTGACAGTGGGCCCTTGTTAAGTTTGATATTAAGTGCATTCCCACATGATCATTTCCCCAAAATGCATAAATGTTTTGGAGGCGGTGAATTGATTTGGAGCTGCTTCGCGGCTTCAGGACCTGGACTACCTGCTTAATTGATGGCTAATGCCCAGTGTGGCACAACTGCTGATTAGATTTATGGAGTAAATGCTTCTTAGATTTGAAGTAAAGTCCCTTATTTCAAGGATTTGTGTTCACGTCCAGTCAAAAAGATGTTCTGGGTGATGGAGCCAGACAGGCCAGGTTGATAAATTAGTCTAACAAGTCAAGGCTTTTAATGTCTTATGAGCATCAAGCAAAGGAGGAGTCGCCTCCATCCTGCACTGCAACAATAAATTACAGCTGAAACACAGCAGATACCCCATCTTAGCTTATTGACGTCTTTGAAACACTTGTAATTTTTTGTAAAATAGGTACAAATTTCTCATCCTTTATGCATTTCAAAATATTCCTACAAATATAACTTTTCACCACTGATGCACTGATCATCACTGAGCTTCACACCTTCGAATCATGCAGAGGCTGATCGATCCCTTCTGTTCTTTAAGGTGACTCATGAGTTCTGACTCTCTGAGAACCCGCCCGGAGTGGGTCAGCACCAGCTGCTCTGCTGGGACACGCAGCCGCTCTGACAGACACAGTTTCAGCTGTGCGCGCACAAAAACACACACACACACACGCCAAAGCAATGACAGCTTAGTTTGAGGATTGCACTAGACCGTCTGCAAACGACAGAAAGAGTTTCCAGCTTCCTGACCTGTGTGACGGTGCAGTCTCCTCTGATGGTGAACGCTCTGCTCTCCGACATGCTTCTAAGGATAACATGGATTCTGTCTGACCTGAGGGGGCTTTCAGGGTTTACCGGTTTGTCTTTCACCGAGTCCGACATCTCAGATTTGATCGGGCAGAGGACGAGGATAAAAGGCAGACCTGGAGCAGTCGTCTCTGAGTGGAGGAGTGTGTGTGTGTGTGTCTGGATGACTCGGCAGAAGGTTGTGAATATGTGGGCCAGCTGGAACTGCACAGTCAGCGCTGTACGCAGTTTCTCTGTGAATTAGAGACTTTCTCCATGTGAGCAGCATTTTTAAACCCTAATCAACTTAAGACATTTCAAGAGTACCTGAAAATACTTCATAGAAAATAGCAAATATTTTCTGTCAAAAATGTAGCAAAAATTTTAACAAACCATGATCATTTTTACAACAATGCAGCATGTTTTTTACTAGTTGGTCTCCCTGAAAAAGCTTTCTCAACCGGATCTGGTCATCAGAGGCACAGTAGCGGCTAAAAAGTGTGGCAGACAAATCCACTTTTTGAAGTCTGACCTCCAACTCCTTAATATAATCCAGAGCTTCATCAAGTGCACCTGTAAAACCACAAAATAAAATAGCAAAACATACGGTTAGCAACAAGTTTTAATTATATATTTGAAACATTACTTCTGTGAAGATCAATACATGTTGTGAGTCGGAGAATGTATGTATACAGCCATTGACTTAATCTCGCCACAAAATACATAACCACATAATCTCATAATTTCATTATTATGTGATAATAATAATAATAATAATAATAATAATAATAATAATAATAATAATAATGCAAGAGTTATATTTTACTGAAATTATCTTACATGGAAAATATACTATCTTTTACCTGCGGGTGGATGTGTCGTGTAGTCATGGTCCGCAGTAGCATCTTCAGCCTGGCTAGCTTTCTGAGAGAGGACACACTGCCATTTCTTAGCCCTCTCGAAAGCAGACTCTCTCATTGCCGGTGCAGTGAAGTTATTCCAGGCAAACAGGGAAGGAACAGTTCCACTTTTAAGGCGGCTGATGGTGGATCCGCTAACAAAATCCTCCGGTGTGAAGTGGCGGCTACATACGAAAGTGCTCCCCGTCTTTATGCAAAAGTCCGGACCTTCGTCTCTTCGGATCGCCTGGATCCACTCCTCCGTTGGTCCGGGTCCGTAGGGAACGCATGATATGACAGATAAGACTGTTTTCTTGCCCCACATGAAAAACCAGGGACTGAACAAAAACAGACTGAGCCATTTTCCTAGCCTTTTAAAGCTAAAGCTATAGCCACCAGAAGTTGTCATACCCCACATCCGCCCCAACCCCGCGCATGCGCACATCCATCCCAGCCCCGCGCATGCGCACTGCCGCCCGAATCCCACGCATGCGCACAACCGCCCGATCCCCGCGCATGCGCACATCATTCCCGGCCCCGCGCATGCGCACAACCGCCCCGGCCCCGTGGGGCGGGGGTATTGCAGAGTACGTCTGCTTGAGAAGCGCATTCCATACGTTAAGCTTTCGCGGTCAGTTGGGGGAAAAAGGGACAACTGCCATCTGATTTTCTAATAACGAATATGCAGGAAATGCTTTCTTCTACTTTAAGCTCCTCTGATGTTTCAGCCATTCCGTTATATCCATATATTCTACAACAACATGAACACAACGAAAAATTATAAAATTATACGTAAATGGTGAATTAAACGACCAAACCGAAAACATTAAAAACAGCATTTTTTATGAAAAAATGAAAAAAAAACCTCACCTCCATGTTGCCATGCAACAAATATAATCCTTGCTCGCGATCCAGTTCTTAATCTAATGCTTTGATTTTTGGTTACGTCTTTTTTGGGTTAAAATAAGTCCGCAAACTATAGTTACCACTTCAACGTCGTTGTCCATGTTTTTTTTTTTTTTTTTTTTTTTTTACTCTAAATTCAGGTGTGGTAGCGCAGAATTTGAAGGGATTTCGTAGCTGGAATTAGAATGTGTTCGAGTGAAACCTCACCCTCTACGATCGAACCCGTTACACCTACGATTTTAAATCAGCTAGTGTGTGATCTCTCTCTCTCTCTCACGTTTTCAGAATCGGCCGACTTTTCTAAAATTGTGTAGTGTGAACTGGGCTTTAGTACTTAATTTAATTCTTCATGTTTCTCTGGTTTGCCCGTAAAATCTGTAAACCCTGACCTCAAAATCTAACATGACTGCTATTAAAAACTGTATTTTAATAAATTCTTCATGTTACCTTTGTAAATGTGTTAGTCATGTTATAAACTAGAAATGGAAGAGAAATACATTTTTATTTGCTTGCATTGCCACAGTAACAACATTGAGCAGTTGGGATGACTTTCATTTTCATGGAAATAAAAACAGCCACCAGTACTTGTTACAGGTTCACTTTCATTCACTTCAGTTCAAAATAGTTTTTAAAATCTTCACTCAACAGGAAATGGACACCAATGTTTCTCCTGAGTTATCATGTAACAGTGCTCAGTAAGTGCTTCCAGAACAATTTGAGAACCATGGTTTCACAATTTACATTTTGTGTGTGCAAAATATAAAAATACTAATAATAAAAGACACCAAAAATCTCACTGAAAAAGTATTTTATTTTACTTCACAGTGAGCGAGAACAGCCTGCCACCCCCATTAACATACATTTTAATCTGTCAATTTGGCATCAGAACCCATGAAAAGAGGCACACAGCTTTTGGAGCATTGGAGATGCCGCGGCTCTGCAGAGCAACCGTTTCCAAACAGATGCTGAACTCAATTTATTTCAAAAGCAGTAAATAAATGTCACTTGGTTGTTTAATACACCATGCCACATCTGGAGTATATTCTGTGTATTTAAGGGGACATGCAAGCTGACAGTCAGACTATAAAAAGTAAAATAAAAATAAAAGGGGGAAAAATAAAAAAAAATGAAACAAAAAGAGAACCTTAATAATCAGTAGTGCTATTTAATTTGTTCATTTTTCTTCTTTCTGTTCATTTTTTATTCCTCCAGTCCTTTTTTTCTTCCTTCAGAAATCTTCATTGATCCACTTCAGAGCCTTTCTTCCCTTTCTTGTTTCCCTGCAAACCAGAAAAAAAACACATAATTACTTCAGGATGATGGTAGAAATTAGTTTACAAAAATATGCATTTTTCTCCATGATTCAAGCAAAGCATATAAACAAAGAAATCAATACATAAGGAAAAGACAACTGAGGAAACAACATGCACCGTTAACCACTCAGTAGATTTACATTCATGCGAGCCTAAATGTTTCCAGTTTACCTGCAACTTTGCTGCTGGTACACTTGCATTTCCCCAGTGAGCAACAATATGGAGTTTCTGTCTGACTTTTCTAATCTATTACAGATCATACCTAAACAAGCGACTGGACTTTCTAACGACCAGTATGAATTATTACATGTACTAAACTAAGAGCTCAGCTCCTCCTCTTTATTTAAACATATCACCACACGGAGAAGTGCAACAAAACACGATTATCTTTGCCCTCACCTGATGTTTGGGTTGCTCTGATTGGAGCCCTTTAACTTTTGATCTTTCTTGTTCAAGAGCAGCATGTAATAATGTTACCTGAGTAAAAGAACAAGGATATTATTTATGTCTACAGAAATGTAGAACCGTCCAAGACACCGATATTTGTCTCTGCGTGACAAACCTGCGAGGACAGTTCTTCTTTGATGTGCAATAGTTCTTCTACCTGCAGGAGAATCTCTGCTTTGTCTTTCACTACAAAAAGACATTGATCACATCAGAAAACAGGAGGCCGAGCAAGTGGCAGCTGAAGAGTGAAAACTGATGAACTCACTCTCCCCCTGTTGGAGCATCTTAAGAAGTTGGGAATTCCTTGCTTTCACCTCTTTGTATTTTCCCTGTAAAGTTGAGATGTGAGCAGAACAGACGATTAGTGATGAGCTCAAACAGGAGAGACACAAATAAAAGCTCCGCATGTGATATGGTGTAACTATATTCATTTAAATTGGAGTAAAACATGTCCCAATTTATTCCTATATAGTTCAGTATTCAAGATTTCTGTAATGGTTTATTTGGCTCTTCTAAAATCTCTACATAAATAGTAATATTCACAACATGAAACAATTATAAAGCTAATTTGAACCAATCACACAATGTTGTATTAATTTGCTTTTTTGTGTGTTATCTGACGTCTGTGAAAACGTTTTTTTTAGCTCATTCAGAGCAACGACTGTTCAGCTGTTTCCATATCTGACCTCCCACTCTGAAATGGTCTTTTTCAGTTTCTGAACCTCCTGGTCCTTTTTCTCCAGCTCATATTTCAGCTGTTCTGCCCGGGGGTCCTACAAAACAACAACTCAACATTTTACACATGTAGAGCAATATGCATCAAGTTCATCTGAAACATCAAAAACAAATGCATCTTTTCTTAAGGTACATGTGAATTATAAAAAGATGAAACCATGTTAGTGCTTCATGAACTCACCGGTTCATGTTCTGTGGATGTGTTGACTTCTTGTCCCGGGCTGTTCGCAAACTGCTCAAATCTTTTCTCCCTCTGGATGATCCGACTCACATCATCTTCTACTTTGTTGAAAAACCGTTCCTCCTGTCCGATTCCTGGCGCTAAGTTTATCCCTCTGGTTTCCTGGAAATTATGCAAAGATTTGAAGTTCTAAACACTTGGAAACACAATGGTGCAAATAAAGATACACAAGCGTCTGTTTTGTTTATTCATGCTGAGGAAAAGGCTATTTGCTTTGTCGATGCTATATTGTAATAATAAAATGTACATGGAAAAAATGAGTTGCTGCAGAATGAAGTAGCTTATTATGCTGCACAACTAAAATATTCAGTGTCGTCAGGGTTTGAATGGATGGATCCTTTAGACAAACTAAAGTGTCCAAATACATATTTTTCCACATCATTACTTTGTTTTTCTATATTTATTTATAGCTGAGGAAAACAAAAATGCAATACTGTTTCAGACCACGCAATGCAGAAACCCTGTCAAACCAAACTATCTATTTTTTTACATTGATTAAGGGGTTAAAAATGTTGGTGATGGTCAGAAAATCATTGAGGTAAATAAATACAAAATCTTCTTTCTCACCTCTTGTTTTCTATTTGATTGCTCTGCAACAACAAGAAAAAAGAAAACAGACGTTAGTAAAAACCATCATAACACTTTGTGAAAACTTAATCTACTGCATGAATGTTTCTTTTGCACCAAAACGTTAGCTGCAAGTTTAACATAAAAGTACAGCTAAATGAAAAGATTTTGCAAGTGATGAACCATTTCGTCCCACCAGCAGAGCCTTCAGCCTGGAAGTCCTGCAGAGAAACTGTCTTTTTGTCTTTTGCCTGCTGATTTTTCTTTTTGTCCTTCTTCCCGCCACTCTCTTTTCCTCCTCGTGACTTTGGCGAAGCTACGTTTGTGTTGCTCTGCTGACACAAACACATTATTTTCCTCTTATTGATTCATTTTTATGGTTTTCATGCCAGTGATCTGGCGTGTTTATTAGTGTCAGTAGCGATTGATTTAACTCAGTTGAACATAAATCACCAATTATTCATGTCAAAATGATTACCATGTTTTACACGGAAGACAAAGAGGCTATATGCCTAGTAATTGTTGACATACGTTTTTTTTTACTTTACAATTTTAACAGCATTTGCATTAAAATTGACTTATAATACATTCCGTCTAAACAGTGCCTTAAAAAGTATTAATTCTTCTTTACTGTTTTCAGATTCTCCCATGTTCTAACTAAACTTCAGTTTGTTTTAGGAAGCAGTAGTGATACACTTCTCTAGATCTTTAAGCTGTGAAATCTACACTTGTTTCAAGCATTCATCAGTGATTAGTATGTGAATGCAGTTTATGTACCTGTTTCTGTTGCTCATACTCCAGTTTACTTAGAATCAAGGCCTTTTCCAAATCTGCCTCATACAGCTCTGTGGTTATCTACAGAAACACGGAAAACAAGGTTATGTGAACCTGAACTTGGAAAAAAAATAACCTTCTTAGCCCTGATAGAGCAGTTTGTGATGTAAATATTAAGGACAAGTATATTTCATTTAACAAATGTACTCTTTTATTGTAATAAATGGAATTCTTTTAAAAGTGTTCACTGCAGAAGCTTCTCTACTGCTGACTCCAATAAGCCTTTAGTGTGATTCCAAAATCAGGACACAGTCTCAAGTCATTTTCTCTAACCTGTTCGTCTCTCTGTTTCCACTGTTGCCAGCCCTCTGAAGGTAAGCTGTGGTCCACTGATGCTGGGCTAAGGAGCTCGGTGGCTATTCCTGACAGCGTCATGCAGGGCGGAGGGGCACAGGACTTCTGGGGAATCTTCTTGAAGGCCAGATTACGCAGCTAAAGGAAAGACAGACAAAATATTTGTCCAAAATGTTTCAGAAACTGTTGTTTCAATTAATGATAACAAAGCTACCGATCCACATTAGGAAGGGTGGGTCCATAATAACTGCTCGACTAACAGTTGAAGAGTAATAAGTTTGGTGCTTTCTGTAGAAGTAAAATATCACACAGATTAGATCCAAACAGCTGCCAGAGGCTTTCAGCAATATCATCGTAGCAGCAAATGAATGTGGTTCGATATTTCAGATCTCAAATGAATTTGAAATAATCAATTCCCTTGTCCAAAAAAAGAGAAAAAACAGTAGACAAGCTTCTGTTCTTTACTTTTAGACAAGAACGTAGCTTCGCCATTCATTCAATAGAACAAGTATTGAATGTTATTCAAGCAATTTCTAAAGCTGGTAAAAAAAACAATGAAAGAAGTTTCCAAATCCCTGCTGTAGCCTCTTGCTGCAGACGGTGATTGCACAAGTTGAACTTTGATGGAAGGTGTTCAAGGAAGAAAACTTTGAAAAGAAAAGAAAAACACGGAGGGCGCGGAATAAAGTTTTTCAGAGAGAACACAAAGTTCATCACCCAAGTTAAGGTATTATTGGCGTTTACCTATAAACAAACCACTTATGTCCCAGAATTAAGTAGGAAAGATGTGGATTTTTTTTTTCTTTTTAAACAACTCGATGTTTAATTAAATCTCCTAACTTCATTTCATAGGACTGTTGGTCTTTGTGTTGTGATTTAAATATGTGGTGACAATTTAACTGGTGCTACATATACAAAAACAAACAAAACAAAAAACAAAAAAACAGAATGAACGTAATTTTCCTAAACATTTGCTTGGAGAACTCTTATTGTTTTGCTTTCAGCTAATTAGAGTGGAGGTCATGTTTTCAGGCATGAGTACACCTGCCTGTGGCTGCAGAGCAGTTTCAGTTCCGGTTAAATGAAACAAAGATGGAGCAGTCAGACGCTCTGCTCTGTAGCAGATTAATAAACAGAAAAAAATGAGGGCATGGCCAGCAGACTGCCTCACCTCGTTCGCCTCACTCTGCTGCTGCTCCTTCTTCTTCTTCTTCTTGTCTTTCTTCTTCTCGCCACCCTGACCACCTTTACCCCCTGATCCGGTCGTTGCCCCTGATTTCCCCTGTCTGGACTTCCCGGAGGAGTCCCTCCCGCGTTTGGCGTTGGACTTCCCCGGCTCGGAGGCTTCCGAGTCCGAATCTGAGTCAATCTGGAGCAGGGCGAACCGGGAGGCGGTGGTGGGGACGGTGATCATTGCAGACGATGCCATCACGTAACGGGAAACTAAAAATCACAAGAAATGGTCCCATTGAAAATCACCATTAACATGGAGTAGTTCCGTATATTGTGGAACGATGTTTATACAGTCCTGAAAAATATCCGCCTGAATGTGTATTCCTAGTGAAAATTAAAACTGCAGCAATTTTCTTCCAACTCTGCCGAGAGTAACAATCTGCTGATGGAAGCAGCAACGATACAACCGGGCTAGCAGGTTTTTGTTAGCGTACTAACAAGTGTAAAAAGTCGACATAACCTTCACACGCTCAGGCGAAGCCTTTGTTTGTGTCACACTCACAGATCTGTGTAGCGGAGACAGCGACGACAAGAGAAGTTGACTAAAAGTACTTCTTTCTGCGTCTTGAGGGAACTGAGCTGCAGTTGGTTGTGCTACTAGCGATTGTCCAACTCGGTACGGAAGCCCGGTCGTTCAAAACAGCGCGAAACTACATTTCAACTGGCGCTGGCCTCCTCCATCCGCTGCGACCTTAAAATCTTAGTGTTTCCTGAGACATTGGCTGATTAAAAATACTAACAATGAAAGAAATAAAATGTTGTAACAATAACATTGTAAGAAATTGTACCAGTTGTGTGCATGTTGTTAGTCTGTCCCCCAAAAGACAAACAAAAAGACATTTGAGACTGAAATTAAATATAACAGGCTGAAGGTAAATCCAGATACTTAGTATTATTTACAAATTCAATGAATTCTGGAGGTATGCTTTCTCCAAGATTTTTTTAAAAAAGGCAGATCTGTCACTTGTAATCATCCAATGGAAATTTCTAAAAGGCTGACAGCTGTCAAAGTCCAATAAGCTGTGAAAATCGAACCAGTGGTGAGTCTCTATGCTGTCCATCACAGGGTGACATAGAGACACACATGACAGACAAGCATGCAACACATACACACACAGCTATGGACAATTTATTAACCCAATGCTTTTTGGAATATGGAATTAAGTCAGAATACCCAGAAAGAACCAATGCATGCATAGGGAGAATCTGCAAAGTGAAAAGACCCCATAAAAGATAAAACAGTCCATTGTGATTCTTACATATTTTAATAAGTTAGTACAAAATAAAAGGTCAACATAAATACATAAGTTTTCATTAGGAATGCATAAAAAGAAGAACTAATTATATAGTGAAACTAAGGGAAAACATATAGTGTGTGGTAAGTATGAGACTTTTAACTGTATAAATACAAGGCAATAATATCAGAAGTATAATCTGAAAAGTGCTGAGCTTTGCCTCGTTAACTTAATTTAACACATTTACAAAACATGTTTCACATTTAGCATTTAAATCCAGCTTTGGACAAGAGCATATAATTATGACTCCCAAATAATGCAAAAGAACAAATCCTCCTTCTAAAATGTAGTGCATTACAATATTTAATTATTTTCAATATTTGGAAATTTATTGTAACAAATAATTCAAAACAAAAATTTTTACGTTCATATAAAATCAACCCAAACACATTAAATTACATTTTTTAGATTACAAATTTTTATCATTTTGAATGTTTTATGATCTCACTTGAAAATTGTAAAATCTGACCAAAAAATGAACAACATATTTAGTGCATTTTGTTTTAAATCAGTCATCAACAAAATAGGACCTTTAATATTATCCACTCAAAATCTGCCACAGACATTAGCAGACAGAAAATAAAGCAGAATCACGTGTTTCTGGGCACTTCTATAGAGTCCTCCATCATTGACTCAGAGCTTGAATTAACCACAGATTGGTGTCTCCTAGTGGCAGCACCAAGGATCTGCAGGTCTGCTGCATGAATCTCCCTCAGCTCCCTGCGACACAGTTTGACGGGTGTCATTTCTAAACTAACCTCAGGCTGACCTCTTGTATACCTTTCATGGGACTTTGTGAGTGCCTGTCTGTGTTCAGAAATTTTTGTCTTTGGGAGTACTTGGACGACAGAAAGTGATGGCTTGACTGGTTTAACTTCTATTTCCTCTGTATATATTTTTGTGTATGTGGTGGAAACGTGTGTCGTCTCTCCCTCCTCCTCGTTCACACTCAAAGGTAAATGAGTGCCCTGCCTTTCTCTGCTCTCCTGTGTATGTGAGGACTGACTGTCATTGTGGGGAGCATCACTTAGAAGTTCTTTTAGCTTCTTCTTCAGCTGCCGGCTGGAGCTTTTGTAGAAAAACAACTCTTTCTCCAGATGCTGGACTCTGTCTTGTATGGCTTGTTGTGCCTCTCCTGACATCCCCTCTAAATAACCAGGAACACATGAATGATACAGAAGGAAACATGAATGAATCAGTAAAATTCACATAAAATGTCACCAATATTCTGGATCCTCACCTTTAAGTTCCTGTAGTAGCAGCCGGACATTGTTTTGGTGATCTCTGTGTTGCAGGGTGAGCCTGCGGTCTGCGTCCAGAGCAAAACGCTGCATGGCGGCCTCCATCTCCCTAAGTGCTGCTTCCTGCTCGCCGGCATGAAGCTCCAGCTCTTCACACTGCAAATGTAGACGACGCTCTGCCTCTCGAAGACAAACAACCTGGAGTTGTTGACGACAGCGATGGTTTAGCACAACAAAGCAAAGGACAGAATGAATGAATATAAATTCGAAGCATGAAAGAAACACACCGCACAAACAGACTGGGACAATAACAGCATGCTGTAAGCACAGTCCAGAAAAGTTAAACCATGTCTTAAATCTGTCCAGAATCAGAATTATAGGCATTAAACATCTCAACACACAGTTAAGGAGTGACTTAAAAGGCTCTTAAAGACTCCAGCTGCAGTCTGCAACTTTTGATTCTCCCCATGACCTTGAAATAGGCTTTACATCACAATCCTATTTAAAATGCAGTAATCTCTGATACTTGTAGCTCTTTTATTAAAAAAAAAAAAGTTTTTTCTTTCCACTAAACTTTCCAATAGTGTCAGTGTATACAGTGCTCTGTGAACAGCCAGTTTCTTTAGGAATGACCTTTTGTGACATATTCTCCTTATGGATGCAGTGAGAGATTGACTGTCAAGTCAGCATATGGATTTTCATCTGCTGTACGCTATAATCATCAAAATTAGCAGAAATAAACACAATTTATGTTTTTACTTTTATTACTGAAATAATTTCAAAATATATAATATTTTATTTTAGTGAGATGCAAGGTGTGAAGCAGCCATGTTGGAGGAAATTTAGCCCAGTGTATGCCTTAAATATTTCATATGTAAAGATAATTAAATATATGATGATAGCTTCCTCTTGCCTTGTTGAAGTATTTGATCAACAGCTCTATGGCCTCAGGTAATGAGAGCTTCTTCAGCTTCCTGGTAATGTCACAGTGCTGAGCGGGTTCTGTGTCTTTGGACTCGAGCAGAGGCGAGTTTCCGTCCAACAGGTGATTCTGCCGCTCCTGGATGGAGTTGTTTTTAAATTCAAGAGCTGCATCTAGAGCCTCAACAGCTTCCTCCAGCTGGAGGAGGGAATGCTCCTCCTATACAACAAGCATAAATCAAACAAATGAAAAATAATGTAAGGAGCTTAGAGAAAATGTTACTGAAGTGTTCCCGAAAAATCAAAACATGAGATGTCTTACCTCCACAGAGAGCACTCTGTGGTCCCTCAGCTGGGCTTCCAGAGTGTCTCTTTTCATTTTCAGCATATCTCTCTCTTTCTCCAGCTCCCTGACTGTAACTCCTCTGGTCTTTCTCATGCTACTCTGAAGCTGCTCTTCCACAGACTCCAACTGAACAGACACTTGCAGCAAGTCCCGACTCAAAGCCTGGAAGTCAGAGAACACGTTTAAAAATAAAACAATTCCAGCTTTCAAAACGGACTTTTACAAATGGATGGTGCTGGAAGCAGAGGCTGGAAGACCTGACTGGACTGTAGCATCTTGACCTGGAGTTTGTTTTTCTGTTGGACACAGGCCTCTCTGTGCTGCAGCACCTCCACTTTCCTCTTTAGCTCCTCTCCCAGCTCCTGCAGCTCTGCTCTCTTATGAATGGCCCGTTCCTCTTCTTCCTCAATCCAACTACTGTCATGAAGCTACATTAAGAAAATGCAAGGGCGAAAACAAGAAAGATGACAAAAGAAGATAAACTTCTGCTTTGTCTTACAAGAAGATAATTGTGTCTAAGAACAAATAATGTCTGTTTAATACTTCACCATTCTGCTTGTTTCCATGGGAAAGTTTTCCAGAACAAATGAGCTCTTTAAACCTTGTCCCTGAACACAAGAATGCAAAATACTTCACTTAAGAAAGAAAAATGATGATTGTTACACCACGATGCAATGATGGCCTGCAAAAATTAAGTGGTTTTGTGATTTAAATTATGAGAAACTGAAATTTTTGGTTAATAAAACAAACCATAAAACTCTTAAATGCCTAATGACTAATTACTTAAAAATACAGATAAAAAAATCTAATAAAAGTTATTCTCATCAACAGAAAAAATGCAGTGTCTTTTAATTTAATATTATTTTTCTGACCTAATTAATGTTCTGAAATGATGTTTGATTATCTTAAAAATCCACATTAACTTTAGTTCTTAAGGAATTTTCCCCAATTATTTGGACAGGAATGGGTATATTTAAATTAAATGAAATTCTTTTCCACCATGAACATGGTAACATTTTGCTTTTTAGACTTGTTCTGACCCTGTTCTGATGGGGTTTTCTGCTGCTGGTCTCGTCCAGCTCCCTCAGGCTGCTCTGAAGCCTGGCTCTCTCCAGCCTCATGCTCTGCAGGCTGTGGTAGACCTCGGCTCGGATCTGCTGGCTCTGCATGGACAGTCTCTCCAACACATTTCCCGTTTCACCTCTGTCCACTGCTTGGATTTTTCTTTCTGTTGGTAAGAAACAACTGTCGATTTTCAGATTTATGTCATTAAAAAAATTGTTAACTTATAAATCTATTTAAACATGTTTAGTTTTCATAATTTTCTTTCAAAACAATGTAATTGACATCATGCTCATCTTATTTACTTCCTGAGAGTGTATCTGAGTCAGTGTTAACCTTGAAGTACTAATCAAACCTTTGAAGACTAATAAAGCCCAGATGGGTTCAATTCCAAACCTGTTAGAACCTTTTGTTCAGTTTCTCTACAAAAAAAAAAAACATGTTAACTCACCAGTTTTGTCAAGTTCTTTGATGAGCTCCTCCTTTAAGCGCATGCTGACCTTCAGTTCATGGATTCTTCTTTCAACAGTGTTGGCTCGCCTTACCTTCTTCACAGGGTTTTCTTTTATGTCTGATAAGTTGGAAAAAGAAACAACTTCTGGGTACAGTTTATGTCAATGGGATAATTAAGGAGAGAAATTAGAAATGAGAGAATGGCAACTGTGTAAACTGAATGCATGTAAAATAGTGAACATATAAAGAGTACCTTTGACCAAATAAGACTCTGGTACTGCTGTGCTACCATCACA